TCCCAGTCCTCAAGTCGCGATAGGACGGGAAGTTACGAAAGGCTTTGCTTGAGATGGAGGGGTGTTTGTTTGCATTCCTCGTTCCACTCGAAGGCTGCCTCTTTGCGCAAATGTTTGAAAAATGGAAGAGCATGTTGCGCGGATTTCGCCATAAATCAGGAGAGCAACGTGAGCATGCCGTTTAGGACTTGTATGGATTTCTTCGAGCTAGGTGTAGGGAGCTCGGAGAATGCCTGGAACTTGTCGTGGTTGGCTTCAATTCCCCGTTTCGTTAGGTAGAAACTGAGGAATTTGCATGCCTTAACCCCAAAGGTGCATTTCTCAGGGTTGAATCTCATTTTGCATTGTCTCGCTTGGGCAAAGACCTTTTTGAGGTGGGCATCATGGTCGGTATCTGTTCGAGATTTGACAATCATGTCGTCCATGTATACCTCGAGCATATCCCTGATCTCGTCGCAGAAGACTCTATTCATCATCTGCTGGTATGTTGCCCCTGCATTTTTCAGGTCGAAGGGCATTACGTTGCAGTAGTAATTGCCTGAGCTGGTCATAAAAGCAGTGCAGTACTTGTCGCTCATCACCATTGGGATTTGGTTATAGCTCGAGTAGGCGTTCATAAATGATAAAATTTTATAGCCAACCGAATTTTCGACAAGCATGTCAATATTAGGTAAAGAAAAAGCGTCTTTGGGACATGCCCGGTTAAGATCAGTATAGTCAACACACATTCTCCATTTTCCATTATTTTTCTTAACGAGTACAACATTTGGGAGCCAGGTTGAATACCGGGCCTCGGAAATAAAGTTAGCCTCTAGGAGGTCTTTTACAGCATTTTCAGTAGCCTCCATTTTCTCGGGAGACTTCCTACGTCTATGTTATACTACTGCCCTAGCGGCTGGATCAATGGCTAAGTGGTGACAGGCAACTTCGGGGTCGATTCCGGGCATCTTCGTGGTGCTCCACGCGAATAGGTCTGCATTCTCTCTCAAGCAAGCTTTGATCTGTTTCCTCGCCAAGTCAGGGAGTCCAGTGCCGATCTTCACGGCTTCGTGAGGTTCTTCACCGAGGGGGGCGAACTCAAAGTCTCCGTTCGAGATTGGTCGGAGGAGTTCATGTTCGCCATTGGGTGCTTCATCCTTGTCGAAGCGAGTGTCGAGCAAAATGGAGTCAACCTTGGGTGGAGCCCTTTTATCTTCTGTCTTAATAGGTTGTAGTTTAGGTTGAGCAGTAGAAGCTCTCTTAGAAGGTCGTGCCCCAATGTCGATCATACTTTGTCCCTTTGAAGATGCGTTGAAACATCTTCTGGCAGCTGATATATCACTGTGGATGGTGGCGACGCGTCCCCTCTTCGTGTAGAATTTCATCTTTAGATGGACAGTGGGGGGGACACCTGTTAATTCAGCCAGCGTTAGTCTCCCTAGGATGCAGTTATAGATAGATGGGCAGTCGATGAACAGAAATCATACCTTGACCTGCCGGGATGCTGTTTCTTCCCCTAAGTTGACAAAAAGTTCAACATACCCCCATGGTTTGGAGGTCGAGCCATTGAAGCCTTACAGGTCGGATCCCACGTATGGAGAAAGGTGGGTATTATCGAGTTGTAAGGTTCAGAATAGATGGTTGTACATAATGTCGACGAAGTTCCCCTCGTCGACCAAGATGCGGTGAACGTTGAAGTTAGCCATCCTCACCCTTACCAGCAGAGGGATGCTCGAGTTAGGGGCCCCTCCAGGCAACTCTTCGAGGTAGAACGTGATTGGTTTCAATCTGCCCTTGACCTTCTCGAACGTCACCGCTTGAGTCGGGGCTGCATCGACCAACTCGTCAAGCTTTCTCTTTGTGGAGGTTATGGAGACGTCGCTGAAACCCCCACCACATATAACCATGGCGGAGGGGAATTTCTCCCACCTACTGTGCATGGATAGAGGTTCTTCCTCGTATCTGTTAGGGACGTACCAGTCCTCCAGCCTTATAACGGTGAAGGCTATCTGGATAGGGGTCGTCTCATCTGATGGTCGGGTGTCTTCTTCGACCTCTTTTGTCTCGCGGGAATCTCGACGAGGGGTATCATTGCATCGATATTTCCCGAGTCTGCCACCCTTGATGAGGGTTTCAATGGAGCCTTTGAGATGGATGCAGTCTTCAGTCAGATGCCCGTGGCTCCCGTGGTATTGACAATATTTGCTCTTGTCAGCCCCGAGCTTCGTAGGAGCAGGTTAAGGACGTCTGACTCCGCCGTCCTTGAAGTCGGTTTTGGAACACTCTGCCAGGATGCGCTCGCGATAAGCGGTCAGTGGAGTGTATTCAGTGAATCTCCCCACGGGACCCCTGTGCTCGCGGGGATCATAGGGCTTGTCGTCCCTTCTCTTCTCTCCCGTTCATCGAGGAAGTCCTGCGTTCTAGTGTCGCAGGGTGTTGGTTGGTCTGCGGTTCCTTGGATCACGGGCTTTATTGGTCGCTTCCCTCTCCTCATAGTCCATGTAGGCCCTAGACTTTTCGAGGAGAGCATCAAATGTTCGGAGTGGTTCGATGCCCACGGCCTTCCTGAACTCTGTGCCCGGGAGGAGTCCCCTCTCGAGTAGATACCATTTCATGTGATCGGTACATGGGACCTGGATGGCCTCGCGGTTGAACCGATCTATGAACTCCTTGAGGGTCTCATCGCTTCTTTGGACGATATCTTCGAGAGCGGCCTCAGTCTTCGGATGTCGATGAAAGGTTGTGAAGGAGCTGATGAACTGGTTCTTTAGGTTTCTCTAGGAGGTGATCGATCTTGGGGGAATATTTTTATACCAGTCCATCGCAGTTTTCCTCACGGTCGTGGGGAACAACCGATAATTGATCAATCACGCGACATTGTGATAGTGGAGCATTGCCTCAAATCCGTCAATATGGTTGACGGGGTCAGCAATACTGTTATATTCCATCAGTTGGAGAGGCTTTTCCATGCCCCTGGGAATGGGAGCCTCCATGATTTCATGCGACAAGGGACCGCGGGGGTCGTCTTCGTCGCTCCTGTAGGGGGAGTGGGAATGGGATTGGTTGTATTGGCAGTCATATCGATGTCCTTGGCCTCGAGGAGGATCCCTTCGTCTAGGACGCGTTTCTATGTTTCCCCCATTTCTGTTTTCCGGGGATCGTTGTTCCCTGCATGGAGGGATGAGGCTGTGTCTCTCGGTAGCCTCGAGCATGGTTCTCTCCAGCGTGGGGCGTCGGCCAGTCCGTCAGGGAGAGAGGCTCCGCGACTTGTCCCGTTTGTGTCTCCGCGGGGAGATTGAAGATGGTCTTCATCCTGACGAGGAGGTGGAGTGTCGGGTCTTCTATATCTTCTGGGGGCTCGACGAGAGTCTTCTAGCGCCCTAATTGCTCACCTTGCGAGAAGATCATGTAATTCGTCTGGTTGATAGCCGCGAACAGGGCCCTTGTCGTGGCATCAGCGCCTGGAGGGACAGGGACCTCCTGAAAAGCATTCAGCTCATAGTTTTGGGGCGGATGGGTGCCCTCGTGTAGTCGAGAGTGTGATGAGGAAGAGGCAGTCATGCCGTCTCTAATTCTGCATGAGACCGACCATGTCGTCGTTGTTCCCGTTGTTGTTGTTGCCCATGATGTCGACGACGTTGTTGTTGGGGTCAGCGAGATGGGCGTCTAAGTTGTTGTTGGCAGCTGGGTCGGCCATGACAATCAAGAATTTGGAGTTACTATTGTCTTAGGTAAATGAAAGACAGGGAAGCTAGATTCTCACAGACGGCGCCACTGATCGTACCGGACCAGAATGGACCGTCAAGATCTTACGTCGAGCTGAGGTTGAAAGCGAGATGGGGGAGGGGGTACCTGCAAGACACTCTGATGTCAAAGTAAGTTTCAGGGAGAGTGTAAGCAAGTGAGTATGAGTATGAAAGAATGAATATCTGACTCTCTCAAAAGATAAGGTATTTATAGCCCCCAGCGCTCGACCAAGGTCTCTAATATTGGATCACGATGAGGCTCAATAAAGAAGACTGTCAGGACTTACGTGTGTATGGAGGCCAACACGTGGCCTCTCCCCCTGGTTGGCTGCCCCGAGAAAGCAGGAGCTGGACCCGGTATTCTCAAAGGGTAGAAAGGTGGTGATAATAAGGGCACGTGGGCCACGTTCCCCAACGGATACATGGGGAGTTGCCCAACGGTGTCCAACTTAAATTGTTTGCTTTTGGACCTTGTGCAAAGGTGTTGAATTGGATCCCCCCAACAACGAGGCAAATACGGGTCCAATCCAAATCAAAACTAAAACGAAACCTCAAATTAAATTAAAAAATATCGTCACTAATTAAGTCAATAAACTATTTCTATGTTGTCTTGAAACTAGTATTATCATTTATGATTGAATTTCTTAATTGTTTTAATAATAATAATAATAATAATAATAATAATAATAATAATAATAATAATAATAATAATAATAATAATAATAATAATAATAATAATAATAATAATAATAATAATAATAATATAATTGTTTTAAAATATGGATGATTAAATAAAATATTTAAATTAATTTTTTTAAATGGATGAAAATACTAATAGATGAATTCGATGAATATTTTTTAATAGATAAATTGAATTGAATATTTTTGACAAAGTTTTAATAGATTGTGTGACTCCATCCATCCGTTGATCGGTAACCACATAGACGAAGCATAATGAATGAAGTAAAGAGAAGCCACGTAGTTAAGAAAAAGAATTCGCAAAAAAAACAAAAGCACTGTGAAGCTGAAATAAAACACGGAAGAAAAGAGACGAAAACCGAACCCTCATATCTCATTTCGTCCTCAATTCCTCATATCTGAAACACTATCAACAAATCCAAATCATTACCACTTATATTATCCTTTTGACCTTTTCCATTAAACCCCTCTCACCCTCTATTTTCTCCTCCACATTCATCATCATGAATTTAACACCCCATGATATAAAAAACCACAACAACCTCAACCCAGAATCCAACAACTACCTCGTTTGAAATGTCCCCACCTTTGCAACCACTAACAATAACCAATCTCCCTTCCTTACCAGATCTTTTACTAACTGCACTCTCCGTTTGCTTTCTTTTCACCTCCTCCAGATCCCACAACACCACAACAACCTCAACCAACTGTCCTTTCCTCTCTTTCCCTCTTAACCCTCGTCGTTTCCTCAAAATCCCCGCCATGTCCCAAACTGCCACCTCATCGCTATCATCATCATCGTCCTCCAACCGTCGTCACAATTTCGCATCTCCGCAATCTCTCTCCGAATGGCTCAAACCTCGTTTACCCTCCGATTCGTTTGCTACATGGGGGGTTAAACCCGGAACAAAGAACGTTCATAATCTCTGGCTTGAACTTTCACAAGGCGAAACGTTACTCGAAGATTCTAATCCTCCGATTCGAACCGTTCAGGTGGTTACGGTTAGGGTTATTGGAAAAGACGGAAAAGTCCTGGTTGAATCGCATCAGGAATTGTCGGATGGTAGAGTCAGGGAGCGGGGTAGACCGTTGTCGGAGAAAATGAAGCCCAACGAGGAACCGGAATCGGCTGCTGTTAGAGGGATTAAGGAAGAGCTTGGTTCTGTCATCGGGGATGAAACTGAGGTTTGTGATATAGTGACGATTGATCCGAATTCATATGTGATGAGGGTGGAGGAGCGGAATTCGGGGTCTTATCCTGGTTTGCCTGGTTGCTATGTTTTGCATAGTTTGAATGCTACGGTGGAGGGTTTGCCGGAGGGTGATTTTTGCACGGATGAGGTTGATGAGTATGCTGATTCTGATGAAAAGAAAGTTGCACATGAAGCTGTTTCTGTTAAGAAACATTATTGGAAATGGGTTAGTGCTGATTCTATTCAACCTTGATGTGGTTTTTTTCGATGAATCAAACAACGAACCACACTTAGCGTACGCATGGATAATAATTTGGGAAAAAAACAAGTGATTATACATAACCACACACAATCGGGTCGGTGTCATATTGATGTCTAGCATAGGTTGAACACCAGAAATATCTGCAATCTAAAATGCATTGGTGTTGAACACTAGAATAGCCTTCAATCTGAAATGTTTGTGTGATATAGTTCTTTTTGAAATATTTAACTGGCATTAGTTTTTTGGGGAGGAGGAGGATGCTTCAGGCTTGTTTATGTTTGTATACATATACAGTGTTTGTACTTGTATATCATTTTGTACTGGAATAGAATTTGGTATTTTCTTTGAAATAATAATTTACATTAGCTACTTGCTTTGGTTGTATACGTGATATTTCACTTTCTTGTTTTCCATTCTGACATATGAATGTGAGTTGTAAGTGTGACCATACTGGATGGCTTTCTATACTAATAATAGAATCTCTGAATTTTGTTGTGTATTGACAACTTTCACATGCTAGTAGTATGGAAGTTTTGTTTTTTACTTAAATGGTTAAAGTCCCATTTGTTGAGATGTATATTACAATGTTTTGAACTTAAATGAAATGAGGGAGATTTCATTGAGAACTCCCTACCTAAATGCAAAGTAGTTAACATAACATAGTGTAACCAAAGATAATAATAAGTCAGATGAAATGATCTAAAACTGCTATAAGTGATGTGTTCCGCAAAGTAGTTAGTATAAGTTAGCATAAATTATTCACAACTGCTATAAGTGTTGTGTGTCGATAAACTTTCTCGTCTCTATGTAAAGACACATCAAATGTATATTGTAATATCAGAAAGACGTGCACTGATGTGTCTCTGTCCATCCACTTTCAAATTTTGGAGACTTTTTTTTATACAGATTACAAGGTTTGTGCTTATTTCATTGAAAAGTTAAGAAAATAATGTAGAGGGGGTGAAAGTAGTTTCAAATTGTAATAAAACTTCTTTTAGATGAAAATGGACTTAAAGATATGGTTTTAACCTGTTACTCGTGCTTTGAGACTGCGTTGCAATTTGTGATACATCTATCTTTTATACCTGTCTTAACCAATGACTCTAAATTCTGTTATCATTATTAACTAGAACTTTGATTAAAAAAGATAGCCTGGGTTGGGAATGCCTTTATTCCCAATCAGATTCTGAATAAGTTTATAGAATCAAAGGAATAAGTTTATAGAACCTTGGTTTGAGATCAACTAGTCCAAGGATATTAATTCCACCATCCACTAGCAAGGGGCTTAGGGGGTCAATTCTACCATCCACTAGCAAGTGGTCCATTAAAAGACAGGGGAAGCTCTGTATGGATTTAGCGAGATTCGAACCTGAAACATTGAGAGGAGCACACTCTCATATCTTAAATCTTCACCAACAGACGTAAACTAATAGTGGAGAAAGGCAATAACTAACTGCATTTGCGGCAGTCAGTGAGCACGAGTTGTGCAAAAGGGAATTTTCATGGTGAGATATGTCATTTATCATTTGTATATTTTCCATTTATCCATTGTTTATTAAATACTAGTCATTGTAAGAGGTTTAATCCTCACTATTCACAATAAAATAGTCAGTCTCTATCCTATTGTTCCTATACCATACTTTGAGTCTATTAAAAGGTATCATAATTGCAAAATAAAAAACCCCTTTTCATGGAATAAAGAAACATTGTTGTTGACTGTCTAAAAACTGTCTCGCAAACAGTTATGTTATTTTCTTATCAATTTTTTTCTGTTCCATCTGCATTAACGAAAATAAATATTTGGATCAATGGTTTCAGTCAGTCTGATGGGAACTAGTAGATATGTAGATAATTGACGCGTTATAATAATAACACCTGTATTATACTGAATTGTACTCTGAGAATACACTTCAACGAATAACATTTGTATTATACTGTACTATGAGAATACACTTCTGCAGAGTACAAGGAAATAACTACTGGAAACTAACACAACCAAACTCTAGAATTAGAGAGTTTAGCCTCTCCCAGCCAATCACATGTTACAATAATAACAATTAAGTTTTATCCCATTAAATAATGTCGGCTACATGAATCAATTTTCGATGTAATGTTCTTATCTAAGATCATGTTTCTATTCAAATTATTAATAGTCGATCAAAGTACTAAATTCTACCCACATTCTTACTCTTGTTTTATTTAAAACTTGCAATTAAAATTAAACAGAACCTTGTTAATTGGGTCTGTGCCTAACACACACTTGTTTAAAAGAGGTCTGCTCACAATACTTCCTTCCAAAAGTTTCACCTTGTGCTCAAAGTGGAATCTGGGAAACTTATAGTGAATAACATTAAAAGATTTCAAAGTAGCTTCAAATTCAAGTAAATTTTTCCATTGAATAAAAACTTCAATACTTTCATCCGAATCCCTGCGAAGTGCTTTGACTTTGTCGGGCTCCGCTTAAAGTCTCAAGGCTTCGGCCAACATGTTTGGCAATGGTTGAGGATTGACCGCTGTAGTGACTATTTTCTACTTTCTTTAATAAAAAAACATAACACACCAGATAGATAGAGATGTCAACTTGAACCTATTAGTGAGAATTTTCGCAGAGATTTCCGTTTGGGCTTCAAATATAGAAAAATTTTCTCTCGTAGAAACGGAGTTGAGGAATAACCCCGAAAGCATTTTGGGGATGGGGATGGCGAACATATCCTCGTCCTGTGGAGTTCCCGCCCCACACTAGAATATTATAATGTCGTTAATTAATATATAATTTAACATTTTTAAGTAGGTTTACTTGTCATTTCAAATAATTGTTTTATAAACAAATATAAAACACATATATGATGTTAGTAAAAGATAGAGATCTAAATGATTATTTAAAAAAAAAATTTAAGTTTAAAACTTTGGTGTTCATGAATCTCAAGATTAAATATTGTTAAAATAATATATTTATCATAGATGATTAGTTTATTAATTTCTTGTGGTTAGTTTTTGAATTTTTTCTATTAATTTAGTTAAAAATAATAAATAAAAAATTTATGTTTAAAGATCTCCACAGAAACCACATATCTGTGGGAATCCGCAGGGATTCGTGGGGACAGGAATAGGAGACAAAATCCCTCTGTGACGAAGATCCTAGACGGAGATGGAGAGTAAATTCGAAGACGAGGATTGAGATGGTAATGTATCTCGGGCCTCCTTCCCGTCCTGTCCCATTGACATCCCTACAAATGGATCCTTACTCTCTGAAGGGAAGGTCAAATAGGTAAGCTGCATATCCTATGACCTTAGTGATTTGGTATGGTCCTTAGAACCTAGGATTGAGTTTTATTAATTTTCTTGGCCAGTTGTTTCAACCTATTGAGCTGCAATTTTAGGTAGATCCAATCCCTAACGACGTATGTGACATTCTTTCCATGTTTGTCTGCTTGCCTGCTTTCATTGAAGATCATGCAAAATAACGTCTCTTTCTTAAGTCAAACTAATAACACCAATCTATTAACCTTTTATACTGGCTAACGAACCGTCGTTTCTTTAAGCAAAGAGGATATAAAGAAAGAGCTGTGAAAGGAGTATATTCTTCAAAATCTGGTAGGTAGTGTATAAACTCTGCTTCAAAGAGGAAGTACATCTCTAAAGTTAAATGCCGGACCTCCAAAATCTCATGTGAAATGATAAAACGATAGACTGTTCATTGTCAGCATGAAAGTTAAGTGAAACTTATCTCTTTTTTTTTTTTGTTCATAGAGCTTACTTTCTGCTTAAATTTCATTCATATCCCAACTTGCAAAATTACTGTATTTGTTATAGGCACTGACTTATCCAAGTTTAAGGACAACATTTTGTTCAGAGAAAACAAGTCCTATTGAGAAATTTTGGCACATTCTTACTCGCTTTCTGCACGAAACCCGAAACTTAATGATTAGTTTCTCAATCTTAGATTAGTCCAATAACTATCATATGATTAAAGAGAGTTATAGCCTATAAGGCTGCTGGTGTAGGAAACTGGTTCCTTTCCAATTTCTGCAATGTGTTTTGTTTATTAGTCACTTTGTATGCTTTCTTCAACCGGAATCATCCTCTGCAGTCCTCTAGTTCTCTCCTATCAAGTGACACTAACCTAATTGATAGCATTAATGTCTCAATCGTTGATTAATACAACTGAGATTTGAAAGAGTTGTAGGACTGTAGGCAAGAGATAGAGTTCAGTTCATGTAGTTGAAAACCACTGCACCTTTAGAATAAGGATTCTTTATTTCTAGAAGTTATTCTTTATTCCTTTTCTGTTTTATGTTTTTTTTTTTTGCTTAAGTTTATGTTTTTACTAGAGATGTTAATTGGTTCGGGTAAATCTAAATTAAACTAAGGTGTTTTGGGTTGAATATTTTTTTAGTTCGTGCAAAAATCGAACTAAACCAATTAAATTCAATGTTAATTGATTCGGAAAAAGGACTTTAAAAATTCTATCAGCAAACCCATCTACCCGAACCAACCATATTAATTCATATAAATTATATCATAATTATTATGAAAATTAGTGTAAGATATTCAATTTCAAAAAGAAAACAAATGAAACGCCATTTGTGACATCCACAACCTATATGGAAAATCGAAAAATTAAGAATTTTATATTATTATGAAAAATTAATTGATGTATATTATATTTTTTTAAAAATATTTTTACACATTTATTTCAAATGTATCCGATCAATCCAACTCAAATCAACATGTTATTTCTTGGTTTGGTTTGATTTGTATTTTATCAAAAAAATATGAAAATCCAATCCAAACCAATTTATATATTTTTTATAGGTATGGGTATCGAATTCTCTCAAAATTGAACCAAACCGACCCGCGAACACCCATAGTTTTCACTACTGTTTCCATTATATGTAACTATAATGGGAATATGGTGGATTCTATACTTTAAGATTAGAGCATTTTTTAGTACACCCTTATGCCTTCTTAGAGGTCCTTGACGAAATTCA